CCAATCGTATATTTTTTTAACATAATAACAGGTATTTAAAGTCCTGTTAATCTCTTTGACTAACCATTTCAGCGTCCCTGGTATAGAGATGTGCGCGGGCCTAATTTTTCCAGGCGACATATTCGAAAACACGCACGCAGTTTATCTGGAATCGCACCATAATTATTAACTGTAACAACAAAATTAACCATAGCTATTATTATTTTACAAAAAAAAAGTTCAATGAAAAAGCTTGTATTGAAAATTCGCAGCACCTATGTACCATCATGATACAAAAAAGAAGGTAGTTTCAATAAACAACTTTTGACGGATAATAAATTTTTTTTAAGTTTCATAAATTGTGCGTATTATCAACGGCCTGGCCACTTTGATAATATTCAAACAATAAATAGGAGTATTTTCCTTCCCATACTTATACCAATGTAATAATATTTCAAATCAAAAACCATCATCAGTACTTGGTAATTTTTTTTTACTAACGTAGCTCGCACTATTTTTATTAAAAATATATAAAATATAGACTATTAAAGAAAACTTTATCGTAATTGTTCTTTTTATTTTAATTAAAAATATGATAGGTATGTATGTACATAGGATACATACCTATCATGTTTTTAATTTTCTTGAAAATTTTCAAAAACTTCTTAGTTTTCTCCATATTTTTACAAAAACCATAATTTTTCTAACTTTTATTATGTTTAGTAAATAGACCCCTGTCACGTCTATTGTTAGTAATGTGTTTTGTCGATACGACAAGGTTGCAGTTAAGTTCAATAGGCACATTCTTACTGGAATCGCTTGCAGCATTTTCAAACCATTTTCCCATTTAAGATACTCCAAAACTGGCAAATTCACTGACGTGAAGTGATAGCTAAAATATCTCATTCTCAACATTTATATTGCTTTTACCTACCAGGCTTTCACAGGAACCTACCGAAAGCCCGTCCTGTGCCTATTTCGAGTGCCTAGCACTTGCTAACGTACCCCAAACAAGGATATATACTTTAACTAACTTTAACTAGAGTTTGTTAAAGTATATTTTTACATTGTAATTATATTAACAAATTATTCAACCTTCCATTCTTACCTAATTGGAAATAATGTAAGACTCCTGAAGCGAAACTCTCATAACACGTTAACCTTGATCCGGTCATGTTGGCCTCTCTAATATTGATGCCCTTAAAGTAAGGGGCTCTTTTGAGCCTGCTGCTGTTTTCAGGACTCTCTGCGGCCTTCACCCGAGACTGAGCCTCCACATTAGCTTGAAGTCAAAAATAATATCTACCTAAGATTTTCCCTGGTGTTAAAGTTAATAATAATAATATTTTAGAGCTTACACTTCTCCTAATTGTTTGACCGAGCTTCTGCTCCACTTTATGGCATGCGTTTTGATATTTTTACGCCAATTGAGGAACCTACGATTTCACGCGACCTTCGAATGGCAAAAGCTTTAATACGGTTTCAATAAGAAGCTCTTTTTCATGGCAAAAGTGCTATCGGAGGTTTGTCATTTACTGCCGAGGACCCTGGTCCTACGGAGTAATAATGCGCACCTCTAACCGCTGGAGATTATGTACATGTGTATAATATTTTGTAGTTAGTTATGCAAGATCTACATTTTTCTAAGCACCCTGTTTGTTTCCACTATTCAAGTTGACTTTGACTTCAACTGCCTCAGATTGTTAGCCAACTTTCGCTGACGCCAAATAATTGAAATCTGGAAAACAATTTGATGTTGACGGCACGTGGAAATGAGTGAAACTTTAAGTAGCGGAAATTCCATTGGAGTCTTGTTGAGTTGGGAAAATAGGCAAATATGCTTAAGATTAAAGAACGTTGATGAAACAGGGATGTATGCATTGCATATAGGTGTATAGGAGCAAATTAAATTGAGCTACAAAGTCCAGATGGACCAAATTTTATGGTTTACTTTATGTGATGAAGGTCCGCTTTTGTAATGTATTTATGAAGCGCGATAGCCCAAAATACTTAGTAGACGAATTCCGAATACTTTGGCCATTACCACTAACATTATGTTTAACACTGCGATTACATTTACCGTTACTATTACTGCTACCATTAACGTTACCATTGCCAAAAGGGTTATCATCAACATTACTGTTACTAATTGTGGTAGTGGTTATGGCCATGACAATGGAAACCGTAACGGTAATGATGATAGTATTGGTAATCTTAATGTTAGTCCCTATGGCAAAAGCATTACACATTATTACAACTAACATTTCCATAGCCTTTACCATTACTACTACTATTACTACATTCATTACCGTTACTTTTACTGTTATCATACAATATCATTACCACTTCCATAACCATTACCATTACCGATACCATTACCGTTACCATCACCAACCATTAACTTTATCATTATTGTTACCATTATCATTACCACTGCGATAAGATTTACAAATAACGTTACCGATAGCATTTTCACTACCGTTATTATTACCATTGCCATTACCCTACCATTACCGTTACCAATACATTTACCTTTCCCTATACCTCTGTTACTCCATAAATTTTCTAAAGAAATTCAACCTGTAGTTAAGTTTTCCATCTTTATTTCTTGCTATTCACTATTCACCAAAAGCACCAAACACATGCATCCAAAACAGCTACTCTTTTGCATAAATATGTGTGGGTCTGTATGTGTGTACGTATGTATACTATATATCCACATACATATGTTTGTGGGCGCATGGATGTGAGTTTACGATCATCAAAGCGGCGGTAGATTTACCTTTGAACCGGAATTGCATGTCAGTTGCAGCAAACAATGGTTAACCTCGAACGGCCCGCTGAGCTATTACCAACTACCAGAATAGTAACGTCGCAGTGAATAAAGTTACTGTGTATGTAACCAGTATGTAAGCGTGGGCTTTGACCTTTGTATAGTGTTCATACGCTGCCTTAACCGCTGACCTGCTACGATGCTACCGCACGTTGCTAAAGCTAACTGATTTTGAATTGATACGCAACTAAGACGTCAAAGTGCAGGAGCATGGCTTTCAACATACCCAAGTGCACTACTGTTGTCCCTTGTTGGCTTTTATGTTACTTGATACATATACCGCGGCGTGTTCTTATTGACATATTCAGCTTGACGCAAGCGAAATCAGGTCTTATGCTTTAACCATGTCCTTACATCAAATGCCAACAACTTCAACTTGCAAGCAATGCCATGAGGCAGCTTGACAAGGCATAGACAAATGGCGCTGGCTTTGACTGATGTTGGCGATGATGATGACGCTGATGAGGGTAGAGTGGGAAGAATGAAAAAAAAATATCTTTCGATGTAAAAGACAAGCAAAATGTCACAAGCACGCAGTTAGTGTTATTTTATTGTTATTATTAACTTTCTTCCACTGCACTTTACGATCAACCTAAGGTCACCAACTTATTATATGTATGCAACTGCGTCAACAGCATTTACTACTTTACTTCAGTTGAGCTGAGAGTGAACCTGACTTTCACTGAGTTCATTTCGACATGTTCAGCATCCCAATGTCGAGTGCAATATGACAGCAGCAGTTAATGATGGCTACAACTCCAGCATAAAAACTAACATACACCACTACATATACATATGTATATGTATAGGTGTATAAACATGCACGTATCTACGTTAGTAAAGCTGTTATGCTTAGCTCAGTGGTTATGGGTTAAGTTTTGGCTTTCACAAAAGTCGTCACTTTCCACTTTCAGTAGTTCAAACCGTGCCATTTGCTTTACAGATATTGATGACCTATGCTTTGTTAGTTGGTGTTAAGTAACTTATGTTATTATTGTTGTTGACACTGGTTTAGGATAACAATATTTTATTGACCGCATGAAGATAGTCGTAGCTCTTCATTATTTGAGGAGTGGCTGTTTCACAACAATGACGACTCTGGTTCTCAAACCTTTTATCAGCTAGCATCTTTGGCGAGTTTGCAGAAGGCAAAAGCACTGTACATCTAGACTTTATAGTTAACAAAGATAAAAATACGAAAAGGAATACGAAACCGAATAGTAATGTGAAGAAAGAGGTGATGTGCAATAATGTCAATTGACTTAAATTCACATTCAATGACATTAGCACCACTAGCGTTAGCAGTAACTTTACCGTTATCATTATAATTACAATTACCATTACCGACATCTACCACTAACGTTACCACTACCATTTCCATTAATATTATTGTTACATTACCATTACCAATATTATTACTTACGATGATAAATATGAAGACGAATAAATACTAATAAGAGAATTTAAGCCAAACTAAGAGTAATACAAATTTTCGCAGTGTGGTGGTATGGCTGAGGTGCAATTATTTTTGACTACTGGTCACGGCAAATATTTATTAGCTGGTGTTAATGTGGGTCTGCTTGTCAGTTGATAATTAAAGACCCTCATGTCTTTTGTTGGAATTTTTTTTTCTGGGATTTATTTCTGGTTAAAATAATGACCTTCTGGTTCCTTAAATCCACCGCCAGTCGAAGCAGGGAGTCTCTAAAATTGCGAAAATTTAGAGCATCGCCGACTTGGTGATTCATACAAATTTTTTTCCAATCAAAAATGTTTGTAAATTTTAGAAGTCCAGGGATGGAGTTTAAGTTCAAAGGTCATTTAGAGGTTGAAAAAGGAGCTTCTGAGAAAAATTATCAATCAAAAGTGACCAGCTTTTTTTCCATATCCGAGTCTGTAGTAAAAACATGTCTGTCTAATTTAAAAAATGGGCTTCTGGTCAGTTTAACCTCCTTCTCGTCGAAACCGGACGTGGGTAATACCACCAAAGCTAGACCATCTCCGTATTGGTAGGTCATATTTTTGCGTTTTTCAGTAAAAATGTTTGCCACCATTTTAGAAGGGGAGGAGAGGTCGTCTAGGACACCCTGTATACATATTTACATATAGATTTATCAGGCATCTTATCTGAATTATTGTATTGTGAATTTGATTAATATCATCCTCTCTCTGCCGCCTCTCATTTCAGGTAATTACCGCAACACGTTCACTAGTGCTTTGTGCCGAGTCCCGCCGCGAAATGGAAGACTGGGTTACCTCGCTCAAATCCGCCTCGATACCGGCACGTGCGCGCGGCGATAGTTTCTACATAGAACAACACGATTTGTTCTTCAACCACCACCACTGGTATGCAACGTCTCACGCGCGACCCACCTACTGCAATGTTTGCCGCGATGCTCTGTCCGGCGTTACCTCGCATGGCCTCTCGTGCGAGGTGTGCAAATGTAAAGTACATAAGCGGTGTGCCGCCAAAGCCATTGCCAATTGCAAGTGGACTACATTGGCCACCGTTGGCAAGGATATCATTGAGGATCGTGATGGCAGCATCATAATGCCACATCAATGGATGGAGGGTAATTTGCCGGTGTCATCGACTTGTGCCGTTTGCAAGAAAACGTGTGGCTCTGTGCTGCGTCTACAGGATTGGCGTTGTTTGTGGTGTCGCGATACGGTACACGTTGCTTGTCGTCCACAACATCCTGTCGCATGCCCACAAGGACCAGCCAAGTTATCGGTGGTGCCACCCACTTGTGTGCACTCCATTGGTAATGATGACTCTTGGGATGTGGAAAGTCCGAAGGGAAACTTTTCGCCGCTTTTAGTGTTCGTCAATTCAAAGTCGGGTGACAATCAGGGCGTCAAATTTTTGCGGCGCTTCAAACAGCTCTTAAATCCAGCGCAAGTATTCGACCTCATATCGACCGGCCCCAGTTTGGGATTGCGTCTCTTCAGGCATTTTGAAATGTTTCGGATATTGGTTTGCTCCGGCGATGGTTCTGTAGGTTGGGTGCTCAGCGAGATTGATCGGTTTAACATGCATGTAAGTATAGCAGAATTTTTTTTAACTTACTTAGCTTTAGCCTGAACTTAGTTCACTTTATTTTTTTGTATTGTATTCTCAATTATCGGCACTCAGTTTTCCACTAACCTTCTCATTATTTTTTCTGCACTTCAGAAACAATGCCAAGTAGCAGTTATGCCCCTGGGTACCGGCAATGATCTTGCGCGCGTACTAGGTTGGGGCTCATCCTGCGATGATGATGCACATCTGCCACAAATACTCGAACGTTACGAATCGGCTAGCACTAAAATGCTTGACCGCTGGAGCATAATGGTCTTCGAGAAAGCCATCGCTGTACAACCAAAGACCCCGAAGATGTCATTGTCGAGTGCACAAGAAGCGCTGCTCACTGGTATGATTACAGCGGCTAATTTGAATTTGCGCTCCATTGTCGAGACGGATGATACTCAAACGCTCGTAACTGCCACGAAAACACTCTGCGAGACACTCGACGAACTAATGGTGCAGATCTGTGAGAGTCGCAGGGACGACGAACAATTAACGATTAAATGTGACATATTGCGTGAGAAGTTGAGTATGCTGCTGGATGCTTTGCGCGAAGAAGAGACCGGTGTGCATGCCGGTGATGATCTGCTAACGACAATCAGTAATATAATAGCAAAAAGTGCGCCCACCCCACCAACTGCCTCGCCTACGCCCTCGCCATCTTCCTCACTGCTGTAA